CCCCTTCCTCCCCGCCCCACCGCGGTATAACTGACCCGTCGCAATGTTAATTTCCGCGAAACGGGAAAACCCAGAAGAGAAGGAGCCGCAAATAGTAAAGGCTCCCGGCAGAGGCGGCCGTTAAAGTTAAAATGGCCGGACAGGTGTAAAGACAGGGCAGGTTTCCCTCTCTCTCTTGCGCGCGCGCGCACTTATATATTCCCTATGCCGTGTGCACGCAACGCGCGACTCTGCGAGGAAGTGAACTGTGGTATAGCATGGAAAGTACATTAGACGCCGAAATACATCTCTGACATTAGCCACGCTCGAAATAGCGTATAGCAACCAGGATCTAAAGACGGAGAGCATCGTGAAGTGGAAGCAGAAAGCCGTGGGCGATTCTCGAAGACTCGCGGCCAACTTCACCGGCTAGACATTGTAGTGCAGCGACTGTCGTAAGGATTCCATTATCATCGATGCAATTAATCTGCAGTATCCAGCGACGTAGAAACGCTTGGCGCAAACGGTACAGCAAGTAATGCGCCAAGCACTCCGTGGGACTGCCCAGTGATTCCGAGAGTCCCGGGGAGGGAACTCCAATGAGAGGAATAAGACTAGTAAGAGAGAAGCTATAGGGAGGCGCAGCTCGAGCGTGTCTCCTGCGGAGGGATCGTAGGATGGTGTAGTATGGTAGGACGCCAAGATGGTAGGATGGTTGGTTATCTCGTCGCATTCTCCAGGCTTAACCATCGAGGCGAGTCAGTGTTTGTAAAACGTACAGGTCAGGACCGTGGAGCCTTAAACGATGAAGTAATTTCATTACTGTTAACTTGGCGTAACATGTATTATATATATATAAAAATAGAAGTATTCATCATGCCCATTTTGTACCGCAATAACCAATAACGCAAGATAGACTACATTAGCTGTATCAATGTTTGGCACTGTCGCACTAGTGCTACGTATAAGTAAATAAGGTTACCTTAGGATATCCTGATAGGGGATAGTATGCAGTAAGCAAAAGGGGGCGGTGACTTGGCAGTCGAGCAGAGTCGTGTAGAGGCCTCTGCCATCCCAAGAGATTGGAATGTCTCCCGTCCAGCAGCAGAATCTTCTTCGCGGGCCTCATCTATCGAGGATCCCCTCAGCGAGGTTATATAGGAGGGACCCATCGTCTTCTCTTAATGCATCACGAAGAAAAGATGCGGGCCCGCACACTCTCCTCTCCTTTTTCATTCTCCTCCTCCTCCTCCTCCTTTTACCTTGTATCCTTTCATCCATCTTCGTTCCGCCATGTTATCCAGTCCGGTATCCATCCTCGTCCCACCCTACCTGCTGCCCAAACCCTTTTGGCGTAGTGGCTACCGGAGTTACGCTCGTAGGGCGCCTCGGGCGGTTAACCGAGGAGTCACGAGGACGACCGAACATGCCCGAAGGACTCGGCCACGGGCGTCTTCCTCCTCGGATCCAACGACTTATCCCTCCATCCGATTTCATTCCACGCTTCTCGACGGCTTGAATCTGGAATCCCGAATACATTAATTTCAGAGTCCTTAACCGCTCTGGAACTCCATTTAGCTTCACGACGTCCATTCGACTCGGTGTATCCACTTATAAGTCCCTTAACGTCTTACGCCTCCGAATACACACGCACGTTACGCCGTATGTCCCATCACGCTGATTTATTCCATAACCGAAATGTCTTTCTCGCTCGTATCGCGGAAGACGCGCTTCCGTCCTTCGCTCGGCTCAATCCAAACGCGTTTGCCTTTATCGTCGGACCGTGAAACCCATAAGGTACCACAGTCGAAAAGCCCTTTACGAAAGGGAACCAGCGCTCGCAGTCCACGCCGTGCTATAAGGATCTTTTCACATTCCACATTCCATCCGTGGCAAACAATGTTAACGACCACGTACACTGGAATCGGAATTCCTGCTCTACGGGGGATAACACGTAAATAGGCCGGCGTCGCTACGGGGCCCAGCAGATATTCACATTCCCTCCTCGCTGTACCCACCCATCCACCTCTCCGTTCTCTGCACTATTTTTAGACGGACTATCAGGGATGCCATGAGTTTCTGCGGTTCCAGGCATCGCGACGCTATAGGCGTCCTTCTCCCGCTTTTCCAACTTAACCCTACCTCCCCTACTCTGTCCTTCTCTTTCTCCCGTAATGACTTTGACCTTTGCCAACGGGGGTACACCCCTCGTACGCCCACCCCTCCTCCTTCTGCTCCTCCTCCTCCTCCTCCTCCTACCATTCTTCCATCGTAGTCGTAAACGTATCTCTTCTCCTCCTCCTTCTCTCATCTTCTCTTGCCGTTCGTGTTACCGCGTAGCCTAAGCTACGCTCGTAATCGCGTATTCCCACTGTCTGGTATATGACGGCGATACCAGGTAAACTCGTAAACTCGTTGAAAACTTATTTTTCAGATATTAAGGCGGTATCTTTTCTTTTTTTCATAATTAATTCACTCGACTCACTCGTACTCCTCTTTAATATCTCTTGGAAATTCTCGTTCGCGCTCTCTCTCTCTCTCTCTCTCTCTCTCTCTCTCTCTCTCTCTCTCTCTCTCTCTCTCTCTCTCGCGGAGCTACGCACGTCAGGTAGATGCGTAGCAAGAGAGTTCGACGTCCGCTCAGGAAAATCATACCATCCGACGTGGAAGCTACTATGGCCTGTACAGGACCCGTTTGCCTTCCTATGAAACTATGGATGCATCTCACCACTTTGAAACCGTTCTGCCTGTTCTGCACTTCTCTTCTGCCTGTAGCTTCGTCTCATTCTTACGTATGTATATACTCCTCCTACTCCTCGCCTTCTTCTTATTCCTTTTCTCTAACCTCTCTCGTTCCTGTTTCTCTATCAACCTCCTCCACTTTTCTTCTCTTTCTCCTGTTACTTCCATTATTTCTTGCCATGCCACTTCTTTAGGAATGACTATAAAACGCGTTCCACTTCACTGGACCCTTCCTCTATCAGGATCGATCGTCATTCGGCAAATCTATTCTCGACTAATTGGCACGCTCGTCGTTCCCTCGAATGATATGCCGCATGAAAAAACAAATGTACGTTAGACGTTACTCCGAGACCGATTCGTTCGATAACTTCGAGATACGTATATAAGAACAAAAAGTGATCGAGATATTTTGTGCAATTAACAAAAAAAAAGAAAAAAAAAAAGGAAATCTCACCAATCATTCTCATCTGGTTAATGAAAATTTCACTGTCATAGTATCGGCCGACTACTCTGTTGTGTAGTGACCGTATAAAAAAATTGTATATTAGAGGCCTACGTGCGTCTCCAGTTGGGAGAATCCGATTGAATCATCGAAAGGTCGTACCTTATCGTCGATATCTCTGGAATGTCGTTTCTTATCGGGAACCGTATCGCGGCGCGACGACGGTGCCTGTAAATTAATGTCGATTCGACAGATGAGAGTCGGTCGGATCCGTGGCGCATTGTTTACCCGTATTTGCGTAATGACCGTTGCCTACGGCTTCAATCGGGTAAACGTACGAGCTCCGTGCGCAATCGTGTACACACACTCGAGATTAGAAATTAGACGCCCGTTATATTATTCCAGGGAATTATTATTGCTCGTATTGTTTTGCGAATCGCGTCGTCCGCTAAGCGTTGTCGGGTTTCCTCGTATTAGGTTCGTCGAGAATCGATACGCGCTATTTTCATCGGTATCGTCTAACGCGACAGTCATACGCCATCTTTGCGTCACCCGGGCGAACTGAGCAGAGTCGTGCTCTGGTATCATCGTCCGTGTTGGCTTTGATACGTTTAAAAATAATAATAATATTAATAAACGTCATTTATATAGGTATATCAAAATATCATGTAAAACGCAAAGGAATTGGGTTTTTTTTTTTCCTAAACAATTTTACTCGACGGATAGACAGACGGTGTGGTCAGGTAAAAACAATGTAACGAATCGCCTTGATACGGTTTATCGAGCAAATCACTTCTGATGTACGTTATCGCTCTGAGGAATTTTTCGCACCGTCCGTTAGGTTAGGTTGGGTTGTGAGGCACATCGAGGAAATGCTCCGATAAGGGAGTGAACGAGATTGATAATGAACCGGCGGGAATGGGGCTGCGTGGATCATGAATGGGAAGCAGAAAATCATGCTGGACGTCGTACGTGATAAGATGGCCTTTCGGTTATTGATTACATTGGCATAAACGAGCTCCGTAACGCGTCGGAATATACGATAACGCGTTGTCGCTTGGTATCGGAGAAGATGAAAAATGGCTACATTGATTTGCGGAATAACAGAACAGTCTCAGAAATGTATAGCTGCATTATGCGCAGCGTGATGTGACAACGATAGTTAACGATTGCCGATTAAATATTCTCAAAAATATTGTCTTCCTCGACTGTACATTCTTTTTCGCTTAGCTCGATACAGTTTGTAACGGCAAAAGAAAAAAGTAACTAGCCAGCCACCACGGTATACCCAGACTACTAGTATTATTCCCTAGGGCCGTATGGTAATATATAATTTAACGATTCTCCCGGGATCCCTGGCGACTACCACTAGACTAGTGGGGGCCTTATGCCTCGCTTTATGGGCCAACGAGTTATCGGTAGGTACGCCGCGATAATAGCATCGCATTCCATTCGTATCAGCATCGCTCGCCCGTGCACCGCGGTCCTCCTTTTCCTTCTTTATATTCAACTCCCTCCAGTGTAGCCAACGTCGGCATCGCCATCATATTCACGTTCGTATCTCCTTTGGTTGATACAGCACAGTGTGTAGTCAGCCACCACTGTGAAAAAGCAATGTGTGTGTGTATATATATATATATATATAT